AGCAGGTCGTTTACGGCCAAAATCTTGAAAAGGCGTAAGAGAATACCACCCTGTGCCGCGCTGCTATGAACCTTACTCTCTCGACAACTCTGTCACTGATCATGCGAAATATAAGCTTGGTTTTTAACCCAGTGATCTGACGTTGTTAAAGGCCCGCTCTATGTCGAGAAAGACTCCCACTGTGGAGTCTTTATGCGTTAAGGCTGTCCCAATGGAATTCACAATCAGCTTCTACAGAGTTTTAAAGCAAAACCGATGAGAGGCTGATTGGTCTGAAAGAGATATGTGTGTGAAGAGATTTGAGGTCTTTTTCTAGCCTTCGCTATAAACGTCACCCTGCCACTCTTCAGTCCTAGGGGATGTGCGACGCAGTTAGCGAATATTGGAGCAGTCAACGGCACGACAATTCTAGATTTTTTTTTAGCAGCTGAGCGGGTATAATGCCGACAGATTCCGTTGACTTGACGGGCTTCAAAGAATACATCGCCCAAGCAATGGGAAGCCTTTCTAGTAGGTCACTGAAGGCAGTGCCTTTGCCCCAAGACCTCGAATAGCAGGCCTCTCCCGGAGCTTAGTTGTATGAAAAAATCGGGAGCTAAGGGGAATATTGAGCCACTCCACACTACTCATTGTCCAGCAGATTTGCAGGGAAAAACCAATCGTACTTTGTAAAGTTCCCAGAGAGGCTTCCCTCCGTACTTAAAGAGACCAGAGCGGGTTCCCTTCGTCCTTAAAGTATCATACATATGTACATACGTATTAATCAACCTTGAATGCATTTATTTTTTTTTCAAAATTTATCCGGATTTTATTGTTTATTGAAAATCGCGTAAAATTTTTATTATTTTAGAACCAGGTTTTAGTTTTTCTTGTTGCATATTTAGCTGCTCAAACTTTTTAATTCCACATACATAGATAATTCTTAATTTGTCCGAAATGCTTTACGACTGTAACTAAAAGCCTATCAGATTGATAAAATATGGAAGCTTTTATATTTAACCCCACACACATCCATACTAGTGTCGAATTTTGCTTAAAACTTGGTGTTAGCAAATAGAAAGAACACAGTAGACCTCAGCGCACACGAGCTTTTACAGTTATTTGTAAGAAGTTCAATCAAATGAAGCTAAAATTTTGAAAACTTTTAGCTGCAGACAATAAATCTAAATTAAATTTATATAAATTTTAATTTGAAATAACAAAAAATCAATTTACTTATAAATAAGTACAAATTAGTTCGTTTGATTTTCAATTTATCATTAAATGTTTTAAAAAGCTGCTTTTAAATTAAACTTTTTTTAGTATTTCGTTACTTACTTTTTTATTTACGTAAATCCCATTAATTCGTTTCCATTCGTTGTGTTCAATTCAAAGTACAAACTTACATAAATTTTGAAAATTTGTAACTCTATTCCAAAGCAATGCTAACACAAATGTATTAACGCTATTGTATTCCTCTTTGTCGTTATTATGCGCCTTAAAAATTACCGGCTGTGTAAAATAATTTGTAGAATTACCGCTTCACCGAGGTACATCAATTTCTAACTCACATTTTAAGTCTAATTTCCTTGTGCATACCTTCCAAGTTTTCGATGATTTTCTAACACTCCTCTCTCGCTCTCGCTCTCGCTCACAGCACCTTCGGGTCCGCCAGTCGGTTTCGTCGGCTCGGCGCGTTCAATGTCGGAAATCATTACACAGTGGCAGCCACCACTCGAAGAGCATCGCAATGGCCAGATACTTGGCTACATACTACGTTACCGTCTCTTCGGCTATAACAATGTACCGTGGACTTATCAGAATATAACCAATGAAGCACAGCGTACCTTTCTCATACAAGAGCTCATCACGTGGAAGGACTATATCGTACAAATTGCCGCTTACAATAATATGGGCGTGGGTGTGTACACGGACGGTGCCAAAATCAAGACGAAAGAGGGCGTGCCTGAAGCACCGCCTACCTTTGTCAAGGTCAACGCTCTAAATTCAACATCGGTGCGTGTCACTTGGACACCACCTAATCCACAACAAATTAACGGCATCAATCAAGGCTACAAAATTCAGGCTTGGCGCACTGAAGTAATTGAGGGCGAGCCACGTGATATTGAGGAACGCATGATTACGGTGCCGCCAAGTTTACTAGATCCGCTGGCAGAACAGACTGCAGTCATGTCGGGACTGGATAAATTTATGAACTACAATATTACCGTATTGTGTTTCACCGATCCCGGTGATGGTGTGCCAAGCTACAAGGTGCCTGTGAAGACGCTGGAAGATGTGCCAGATGAGATAATGGCTTTGCATTTTGACGATGTGTCCGACCGTTCGGTGAAGGTGCTCTGGTCGCCACCAAGGAACGCCAACGGCATACTAACCGGCTATAGTGTGCGCTATCAAGTGAAAGATCGCACCGAAACTCTCAAATCCGTCAATCTCACTGCCGAAGACACCGAGCTGACTGTCACACAATTGCAAGCCACCACACACTATTGGTTTGAGATACGTGCCTGGACAAAAGTTGGCGCTGGGCCAGCAAAAACGGCCACCATACAGTCGGGTGTGGAGCCAGTACTACCACATCCGCCCACCAATTTGGCGCTCTCCAATATTGAAGCGTTCTCTGTAGTGCTGCAATTCACACCTGGTTTCGATGGTAATTCATCTATAACAAAATGGAAAGTAGAGGCACAGACTGCACGTAATATGACCTGGTTTACGGTGTGCGAAATATCCGATCCGGACGCTGAAACACTGACCGTGACGGGTCTAATGCCATTTACGCAATACCGCCTACGGCTGATCGCTACAAATGTCGTTGGCACATCGCAACCTTCTGAGTCTACAAAAGATTTCCAGACTATACAAGCACGTCCTATGCATCCGCCCTTCAATGTAACGGTGCGTGCAATGAGTGCAACACAGTTACGTGTGCGTTGGATTCCTTTGCAACAGACCGAATGGTTCGGTAATCCGCGTGGCTATAATGTCACATATCGTCAAGTGGAGAGCGATACACGAGTACAACCGAAGAGTGTCATGATCGAGGATCACACTGCCAATTCACATGTGCTGGAGAGCCTGGAAGAATGGACGGTTTATGATGTTGTAATGAGTGCTTGCAACGACGTCGGATGCTCTAAGTAAGTAACTTTGATTAAGCCTATTAAAGAAAGAATCGTAAAGGGATATGGAATGTAAAGTTAATTTGATTTTAGGCGGGAAGTCGGTTTTAGCCGGAACTCTGTTTTGTATCGAATTACGTTCATACCATTCCATTTTTAGCGTCCCTATCTACCGTATTATCTCTATCTTTTGTTTTTTGTAACAAACCAAACCTTTTTTAAAACTACATGTGTTTCTCATCCCATTCTTCACAACAGACACAGCGCTATAGCTACTGAGCGCACGCGCGAAGCAGTACCATCGTATGGTCCATTAGACGTACAGGCTAACGCTACTTCTTCCACGACTATCGTCGTGCGTTGGGGCGAGGTACCGAAACAGCATCGCAATGGTCAGATTGACGGCTTCAAAGTCTTCTACGCTGCCACAAATCGGGGCGGTCAAGTGCTACACAAAACCATCTCCAACAACGCCTCATTCACCACCACCCTAACAGAACTGAAAAAATTCGTTGTCTACCACATACAAGTGCTCGCCTTTACACGCCTTGGCGATGGTGCTTTGAGCACACCACCGGTACGTGTGCAAACCTTTGAAGATACGCCCGGAGCACCGTCAAATGTCAGCTTCCCAGATGTATCCTTCTCAACGGCGCGCATCATCTGGGATGTACCTGACGATCCCAATGGCGAAATACTCGCATATCAGGTCACCTATTCGCTTAATGGTAGCGCAAATTTAAACTACAGTCGAGAATTTCCACCTTCGGACCGCACGTATCGCGCGACACAGCTACTCGCCGAGCGTTACTACATATTTAGCGTTACAGCACAGACGCGTTTAGGGTGGGGTAAGACTGCCTCGGCACTTGTTTATACAACAAACAACCGCGAACGTCCACAACCACCTTCAATGCCACAGATCTCACGCAGCCAAGTGCAGGCGCATCAAATTACCTTCAGCTGGACACCTGGTCGTGACGGCTTTGCGCCACTACGTTACTATACGGTGCAAATGCGTGAAAATGATGGTCCCTGGTCACTATTACCGGAGCGTGTAGATCCTGCGCTCACCTCCTACACAGCAACCAGTCTCAAACCCTACACGACATACCAATTCCGTATACAAGCCACCAACGATTTGGGACCCTCTGCCTTTAGTCGCGAAAGTATTGTGGTGCGCACATTGCCAGCTGCACCAGCTTCGGGCGTATCGGGTCTGAAAGTAGTGCCCATCACGACCACATCAGTGCGCGTGCAATGGAGCGCCTTAGAAACTTCAATGTGGAACGGCGATGCGGCAACTGGTGGCTATCGCATTCTCTACCAACAATTGGCTGATTTTCCAACTGCGCTGCAAGCCACACCAAAGACCGATGTAATGGGTATCAATGTGAATAACGTTGTGCTGTCGGATCTGCAACAGGATCGTAACTATGAAATTGTAGTGCTGCCCTTCAACTCACAAGGTCCCGGACCGGCATCACCGCCTGTGGCAGTATATGTCGGCGAAGCAGTGCCGACCGGCGAGCCACGTGCGGTCGATGCTGCGCCAATATCTAGCACCGAGGTGCGCCTGCGTTGGAAGCCGCCTAAGCAAAGCATGCAAAATGGCGATTTGTTGGGCTACAAAATATTCTATTTGGTCATAGACTCACCGCAAAAGCTGGAAGAGGGACGCAAGTGGGAAGAGGAAATTGAAGTAGTTTCAGCCACTGCCACTTCGCACAGTTTAGTATTTTTAGACAAATTTACGGAGTATCGCATACAGTTGCTCGCTTTCAACCCGGCCGGCGATGGACCGCGCTCAGCTGCTATAACAGTTAAAACCTTACAAGGACTGCCGAGTGCGCCACTCAATTTGCGCTTCGAGGAGATTACTATGCAAAGCCTGAAGGTGTCGTGGGATCCACCGCGTTTACCCAATGGCGAAATACTAGGTTACCTGGTCACCTACGAGACCACCGAAGAAAATGAGAGTGAGTTCTTGGAAAAGGAAAAGCTAAAGTATGATGGTAATAAATAAAGTAAATCTTTTCATTGCAGAATTCAGCAAACAAGTGAAACAAAAGGTATCCGGCACAAGCTTGAAGGTGCAAAATCTAGAAGAGGAAGTCACCTATACATTCACAGTGCGCGCACAAACGATCGAATATGGGCCAGCTGTTAGTGAAAATGTTACCACTGGTCCACAGGAGGGTTCACCTGTGGCACCGCGTGATTTAATCCTAACAAAGACACTAAGCGCCGTGGAAATGCATTGGATCAATGGGCCATCGGGGCGCGGCCCATTACTAGGCTATTACATTGAAGCGAAAAAACGAGGTAAGTGAATTTTTTTCCTGTGTTGCATGTTTGATTGGCTCACTTGCCGAATTGATTAGAAGTTAGAGACTAAATATGGTTGAGACTTTTGCTTGATGTTATGCTTGAAAACGTTGTGGTATTCGCTTATGTGGCTCGAGCGATATATCGTTTATTTGGCTGGCTACAATTTTTTTTTAATTTTTTCGGATCTCTGAACTCTGCTCAATTCTCATACATATATATTTACATAAGCGTTAATCCAAGTCGAATGGACCATTGATTGTGGTGAATTTTGGTAGGAACTTTTTTTTATCATATAACGAAGTTCTGCCAATCGAAAAAAATAAAAAAATTTTAAATTTTCGATTTTGCAAGTTTATTTTTTGAATATCTCAAAAACTATTACAAGTACACAACTAGTTCTGATCTCAAAAAATTGCAAAAATGAAAATATTTACAAAATTTGGAAATTAAAAAGTCGTAAAAGAAAAACCTTATATCATTTTTTCTCAGTTTTGTTTATACAGGACGTTCAACTGATCTTAGAAGAACCTGAAATATGGAAGTTGTTTTTTTAGATATGTATAAATTATTGAACTTTGAATTGTTTTTTCAAACTTTAAATAAATTTATGTTAAACTATTTTTATTCACTTTAAATTTAGGTTTGCAAAAACACACCTTCTTAAATGTTTCAGGCTCTTTTAAAATCAGTCAAAGCTATTGTATAAAAATATTAGCCAAAAATTTTAAAAAGTGGTTGCCGTCACGATTTTTTAAATATAAATTGTGTAATTTTTTATTTTTCGATTTTCTTTATTATATTTTATATAGACACATACATATACTATATATGCCCCCATACTATAAATAAATGATCATTAAAATGATACCAGAACCATTTGTGAAACTGAAACAGTTATTGAGATATTCAAAAAATAAATTTGCAAAATCGGGAAATGGCGAAACCCCATTTTTTTACTTTTTCCTTTGACAGAACTTCGATACATGATAAAAAAAGTTTTGACCAAAATTCATCCAGATCAAAAATGATCGATTCCAATCAATGGTCCGACATAGAATGACCCCTACGTACTTAAAAATTATTTTAAATCGATATTTCTGCTGATATATGTATATATCTGTTCTGCATGGTGCATACTGCTACGTTATGGCTTAATAACAAACAACTTTAAAAAGTCAAACTTCAATTTGGTATATTAAAGTCTATAAGCCAAAGAGTAAAGATTTAACATTAACCTCTCAACTAAACTGTTGTCCATATACTTTCATAAAAGTTTTGGATTCTTGGTGAACTGATTTTAATTTTGCAAATATTCTATTCTCTTATTCCTCTTAATATTTACTACATAAAATCTATACGAAACGCTTAAGTAGAAAGAGGAGAACCATCTTTTATTTGTAAGTATTCCCTTGAAATCTACCTCTTGACCAGCAATTATTACTTATTTCGTATATTGGCAAAAATTATAACGATTTTATTTATGTAATTTATTGCTTTAATTTTTAGGCGAAACAAATCATTACAATTTTTTTTACTGAAAACTAGCAAATCAGTTTCAGAAAGAAAATTGTATACACGTAATAACGATACAACAAATACACCGCTTTTTCAATTACCTTTTTCCTTTGCGAAGTTGCGCCAGTTGTTTATCCTGAATGTAGTCAGCTTCTTCCTTCCATCCTCTCCGAGTGGAGGGATCTTTTCAGCGCAACGTCTCACAGTGGGCTAAATAAAATGATTCAAAAAGTAGTAATCGTCCTCCGATTTTGCTATAATTTATTTTTTGTGGTATTTTCGCTTAGGGATGAAGAAATCTGAAAAATGGCATAGATTGGAAGACTGTCACGCCCACTTCCCTAAGGGACGGATTGGTAAACTTTATCCGATTTTAATGAAATTCGGTTTGTATCTTAGTTTAGCCATAGAAACTTAAATCGACTGCCACACCTACCGGATAATACATATCTAAAACATCTGCCGCCAAAACTGCTGGCTTGGTCAGTGGGCGGTTTTGCAAAAACATCGACGATATGTATATCGTTTTTAAACTTCCTATTACTGGACAAAAGTACTGCATAGGAAACTTCAGTAAAATCGGATGACGCTTACTACTTTTTGCCAAAGCCACTGTATAGCATTCTGCCTATGGAAAATAAGCAAAAGAGAGGCATTCGGACGCAGCTAAAATATGGTTTGCTTCTAGCTTACCGTAAACAATACCAATCCAATTTATACCAATCCATATTCACCACTCGGCTCACAGTGGGCTGAAACGAAACCTTGTGTTCAAAATATCCCCTCTTGGAATTAACTATTTTGGGTGCATTTTTTAATTAAAATTATGTTTTTCGCGGGAAAGTTATGCAAAAAAAATTTCATTGTATAAAAGAAACATTCGATATCACAAACAATTGCTGTCGAAGATCTGCATCACCCCTGAATCAAATATGTATATATGTATTGTTATAACGGTCACTAATAGTCACTAACGTTCGTACTGATAAATTTTGTTGTATTGTTTTTTTTTCCTTTATTAAGCACAAATATGTTCATCTACTTATGAATGTATTTACATGGACGACTGGAAGTAGAAGATCGACTTAACTCGGTTCTAAAACGCCCTGTCTCAAAACTTGATCGAAGAGTGCCCTATTTCATACTTCGGTTTAAAAATGCCCTATCTCAGCTGTCGATTCAAAAACGCCCATTCTCAACATATTTTTCCAATATATATCGTTTTCCAACCGGCTGCCAGGATAGGTTGATCTTCCACTCAGCCGTCGCTAAGCTCTGATAAACTATTTATTTTTTTATTATTTATAACACACAAAAAATCTCTTCCTCCAAACAGACGACTCCCGCTGGGAGACAATCGAACAAACGAATAGCGGCACCATACAAGACTTCACAGTTAGCTATCAAATTTTACTGCCATCCACTGCCTACACATTCCGTGTGATTGCCTACAATCGCTATGGCATTTCATTCCCTGCCTATTCTAAAGATTCTATTTTAACACCATCAAAGCTACATCTGGAATATGGCTATCTGCAACACAAACCATTTTACCGACAAACTTGGTTTATGGTCTCTTTGGCAGCAACCTCCATTGTCATCATCATTATGATTATTTCGGTGCTATGTGTGAAGAGTAAAAGTTACAAGTATAAGCGTAAGTTTTTAATATTTATTACTTACATAATTACTTTTGTATAACTGACTTGAAAAAAAATAAATTTCACCTCCCTCCCACAGAAGAAGCGCAAAAAACGCTCGAGGAGTCCATGGCCATGTCGATTGATGAGCGTCAGGAATTAGCTCTGGAATTGTATCGCTCACGTCACGGTGTCGGCACTGGCACCCTAAATAGTGTGGGCACTTTGAATCGTAGCGCATTGGGTACACTTGGCAAAAAGTCCTCCAATCGACCGCCAACAAATTTACAATTGGGCAAAAGCCCACCACGACCCTCACCAGCGTCTGTGGCATATCACAGCGATGAGGAGAGCTTGAAGTGCTACGATGAGAATCCCGATGACAGCAGCGTTACGGAGAAGCCGTCGGAGGTGAGCTCCTCCGAGGCATCACAGGTAAGAAATAAAATGGATTTCATTTAAATTATTGAATTTAAGTTTGTAGTGTATATGGAGTAAAAATAGGTATATTCACTGTGTTGATATACAAGTGAGTTTTAAAGGATTGTCAACGGAGGATGCCAGTAGTGTTTAAGCATGTTAAAGCGTCATCCTTTAGCAACATTCTGCAGTATCATCAGTAAGCGATTGCTGAAAAACGGCCGGAATGGACAACCAGACATGATTCGTTGATCTTCGACTATGACAATGCTCGGCCGCATATTGCACAAGTGGTCAAAATTTAACTCGGCCACCCGCCTTAGAGCCCAGACCTTGACCGATCAGACTACACCACCTGTACCGGTTGATACAGAGCACCCTGACGAAAGTACGCTTCACTTCAGTTGAAGTTGTAAAAAAAATGGGCTTGATACTTTCTTGGTCTCCAAAGACAAGCAGTCTTATTGCCGCGGAAACCATGCATTGCCAGAAAAGTGGAAAAAGGTCAAAGGTCGCGCAATAAAGTTTCAAAAGCGAGAATAAATCCTTTAAAACTTACTTGCATACCAATACATATACACATAGTTGCATATTTAGTGAGCTATTTAAGAGGTATTTACACTTGTAAAAAACATTACCAATAGCCTTGCGAAATCAGTTAAATAATTTGAATTTTAAGCGCCGCCATAAACAGTGGCGAGTTAACCCACATTCGGCAGTTAACTTAGAACTTTTTTAATGAATATATAAATGTAGTTGCTTCCAAATGTGCGTTAACTCTCCACTATGAAAACGGCCTTATGGTACACATACATACTTCTCTAACGATTGGTCGTATTTATTGATTCAATGATGTCATCGGACTATTTGGGAACAATATTTGTCATCTATGCAGTAATTTCGAACAAAAACTTTTAAAATAAATCATATTCAGGAAAAAACCGCAACAAATCTAAGCCAGCTTCGAACACGTTAGTCAAGTTTTTAGCTTAACACAAAATTATAGCTGCGCTCACGTATATTTGAGCTACAATAAAATTAGATTTCCATTGAACACTATTTAACATGTATTTCAAAAATACATATATCAAAATCGCTGTCCATATCATTACAAAAAACTAAAAAAAAAAACAACAAGCAACTAGCTTTCATTTGCCAAAAACACTGAACTCGCATGAAATATCCATTCAATTAAAATTTCTTCACATCTATTTATTTTTCAAGCTGAGATTGATAAATCCTTTGGAAATCAGATAAGTATGTACACATACGGCTTAGATTATTTAATTTTTGGCAAATACTAAGTGCCGCCCAAATTCACTAGTTTTACAGTTGAATGCGACTTTTTGACGAACTGTTCATTTAATGTTTTTTTTTTTGTTTAGTGAATCTACATAGACAGCTTGTATTCGCTTCAATTCTATTTAAAAAAAAAAAATACGTATTTATTTAGCATTGCAATTTAATGCATTTTAAAATTTTTCTTTTCTTTTCTTTTCTTTTTTCACCTCATTGACAATGCTTTTGTTTTCGACTTCGTTTGTATTCGCACACTTTTGCACCGCTGTGTATGATCACCACAATGTACATATTTTGCAGCACTCCGAGAGTGAGAACGAGAGCGTGCGCTCTGATCCGCACTCGTTCGTCAATCATTACGCAAATGTGAATGATTCGCTGCGACAGTCGTGGAAGAAGCAGAAACCGGTGCGCAACTACTCCAGCTATACCGACTCGGAACCGGAAGGCAGCGCAGTGATGAGTCTCAATGGTGGTCAAATTATTGTGAATAATATGGCCAGGTCGAGGGCTCCACTGCCTGGTTTCTCCTCCTTTGTCTGACAATCAACGGAGTTTTAAAAAATAATGTTTAAAAAATAATAATAATAATAGCGAGTAACCACAAGTAACGAGTAACTGAAAAAATAAAAGAAGGGAGACAAAACAACTAAAAGGTTGTTCAACTCACTAAAACAAGCCGAGCGTGCGCATTTAATGCACTGTTTTTTAAAACACTTTTGAATCAAACCAACACTCACACAAGAAAAATTAGTTATTGAATAAATCTTTAGAATATGTGTATGTAGGGTGTGTTTTAAATTGACAAATATTTGTATGTATGTATTTTCGCAATTCTCCATTTGGACTGTTGTAATTTGAAAGTGTTTTGAAACAACAGCTATAACTGTTAGTTGTGTACTTTTCATGTGACCCGACAATTTTAGATATGTAAGCAATGTGCAGCATTAATTAGTTAATAGAAACTACTTCTATTTTTTTTTTTAATAGCTTAATTTGTGTACTGCGTAGTTTTAAGTTTGTTTTTACTTTGCATAGTTTTTTTACTGTATTGTAATTGTTTAGTTTTTTTGTTTTTTGTTTTTAATATTTGAATGTGCTTGTGCGTGCAAATGAAACTCTATATCTATTTACGTATAAATTGATAAGTTAATATCCGCCGATATTTTTGATACAATAATTTATTTTATTAAAATTACAAATAATTAGTTTATGCGTATAGTTAGTAATGCGCCACAAACATAGATATGTGCACGCTTAATCACTTTGTAAGTGCTACTCGTAGCATACACGTATATTACGCGGCGCAAACAAATCAATGAATTTAACTACATACATATATATTTTAGAAAATTCTAACGATAAATTGTGATAAAAGCGTAACTATGCATTTTAAGTTGAATAAAATACTTACTCGTACATATAAAAGTAAAAAAAAACGTGAAGGTTAGACAAGGTTTCTTATGCTATTTTAAATTCAAATATTTTTTATTCAGTGCGGCATGAACTGTCTGTTTGCAGTTGGGGCTTGTTGACTTTTAATTTTTTTGATATTTATTTAATATTGAAAAACACACATATATGATTATTAGGGTGGTACTTAAAATATCAACATCAAAATAAAGACATCCACGAAAATTCCAAAATTAAAAAAGTATGGCTCGCTACGAGAGTTTGAAAAAAGTGGAATTTTTTTTTAATTGCAAAAATTCAACACATTTTTTAATTTGACCAGCTATAACTCAACGAGTTTATGAATAAGTCAAATTTAAATTTTTTCACACCCTGGTAGCGACTTCTATTTTTTTTTAGTTTTCATGGATGTCTTAACCTTGTACGTAGAACAAAATAAAGGGGTTCCCAATATAAAGTTTAGGTTTTGATATTTTTTAAGGACCACCCTAATAAATATGTACGTATAAAAACGGGAATTTATTTGAATAGGGGCATTTCTTCTCCAGAACTGAGCTATACTACACACATACATATGCATATGGGCTTGTAGGAATTAGAAAATCTACGTTTTAATCTCATTTCTTTAGAAAAATGTTGAAAACGAAAGGACTTCCCTCGCTAAAAACCTCTAAATGAATAAGGTTTGTGCCTAAAACAATGCAACGTCCCGAGAGAAACGTAACATATCCATAATGCTTACGATTTTATATTGAACCTCTTCGGCTTTGGCGTTGCATATTTTTAGGTATTTAAAAAATTTTGACACTTGATTAGGCACAGTAGGGGTAGCATGCTTCTGTTTATAAAAAATTTAAGAAGATGATACTTAACACATTTGAAGAATTTAACAGATATTTCCCACTATAACAGAGCAGCTTGATTGGGCCAATCACGCGCACGATCAGCTACAGAAAACGCAAAAATTTACGACTAGGCGTATCCAGAACCAAATTAAATAACAACAAAAATAATACGTCAAAACTTGGCCAAAAGTGGCTCGGCTATAACTCCTGCAGACAGGTGGCCCAAGGAGGATGCTTGTCAATTTACATATTTATACATAAGATAGTACATAATTGTTTGTAAAAGTTTAACATGTCATGCCCTAACCAAAAATAAAAACGGAAGCAACATTTCTTTCAAAAATTTCTTTTTGATCCAGAAATACATCTATGTAAGTAGTTTATCTAGGAGCAGTTTTGTATCAAAAAGAGAATTATTTAAAAACATCGACAACGTTTTTCGCCGCTAGGGCTCGATATGTATACCACAACGATCAGAATGAAGAGAGAAATCGATTTAACCATGTCTGTATTTTTGTAAGTCTCATATAACAAAATTTTTGAAAAAAAATTTGCAACTTGCAAAATGGAAAAAAAGGCAAATTTGTTTTGTCCAGAACATAGACTTATCTACATACATACATATGTACAGATTTATTTATCAAATGATCGTATTATATATGTATGTATACAAAAATGGGTAGAAAATTTAGGTGGGCTCAGTTCTTTTTGAAAAAACGCTCAGTTAGTCCTCTTAAAGCAGAATGCTACTTAAAGTACAAACGTTTTTGCATTTTTCAAGCGTTTCGAAAAATTTTCAGTTGGAAAAAGTATTTCTTCCCCATTTTTATTTTACTTTTTACCGTTTATTCTTTGTTGACCGATATTATTTTTCCAATCCACTTCGCGTTTTATCTTTGCGGAATTAAGAAATTAAAATCAAATTCGACTTGGGCCCAGTCATCAGTCAGTCAGTAGAGCAGCTGATTTGATTTTTTCACATTATTTTGTCTCTAAAATATCAAACATTTTTAATTTCTTCTCGCATAAATCTTAAATGATCAAAATCTATTTGCATGTGAAACCATGCGATTGAATATTTAGCAGCTTTTGGAACGTTCGCTTAACACAGCAGCATAAACGCTGATTACTGGGCCTTGCAAAGGATGAATCACTGCCTCGAGAAACAAACAAATTGACTAAGAAATAAAGTTGCAACCATTTTGATTTTTTCCAAATTCGATATTGTTTTTGCCGAAGTCAAATATTTGCTGGACATTAAAGTATAGACGGTATATGATTATATTTATGTAACTAATTGAAAATTTATCGCTTTTCGTATAATGTGCTAGGTGTGTTTACAGACCGAATATATACAAAAGCTGAGGTAATTACTGGCCGTCTTTAATTGTTGCAAAAAGAATGTAAGACTCTCATTTCCCATATGATTAACATGCGCACAGAAATAGTTTTTCAAGTTTTCTTATAAGCGTAAAATTTCATTGCCTTTGCAAATGTTCATGTCCCTGGATCCCGATTATAATCTAAGCTTAAGTTTAAATCTAATGTTTTTGCTTTCTTCTTTTATCTAAATGATGTGCTACTTAGTTACACTTTTTCTTTTAGTTTATTAGAATTATTATGTATGTCTTATTTTTAAGTGAATGTAATCTCATTAATTTAGCTATTAATTAGAACCAAAACTGTAAATAATCATCGACTATGTGTTTTTTTTTTTGTCTAGTTTAAGTTGTACGCAATGTGTATCTCTTGTGGCTTAAATATATGGTCGTAAAGTGCTTTTATTGTCATTACAAATTTTTTATTAAAAATATGTGCATATGTATGTACACATTTTTACATATATATGATAGTATTTGTAATATAAATTTACAAACTTTTTTCTATTGTTTTTTAATAGAAAATTTGTTTTAGTCAGCAACTATCAAAATCATTAAAATACTTGCAATTTTATGTACAGTGTTCTATATGAGCATTTAAATAATATTTTTTTTGGCGCATTCCAATGGAATTTGTTTACTTATATACTAAATACATGCAATAATTTCATAATATATCATTTTCTGCATTTCGACATTATTGTAAAGTGTTCAAGTTACTTTTATAAAGGAAATATATTAGTCCTTAAATGTAATTAATTTGTACTACTCTCTAGAGCCATATAAATATGTACGTGCACATACAGATAAGTAAATACACAAACACAAACCATACATAAAAACCCAGTTTCATACATAGTACATATAACATAGATACTTACATATGTGAATGCAATCTTTGTATGTTAAATAAGGCAAGTAAGTAATAAGTAAGCGAAAACAAATTTAAATCAAATTGGAGAAAATATAGAAAAAAATTACTATGAGTCAACTAGCGTGACTTTGAAATCGTACATACTAATTTCATGTAATAAACTTAAACAACAAAATACACTACTTAAATAGGTATATTTTTTCTAAACAAGCGACAAGTGAGCGCATGCATAACATAAGTAAGTATACGAATATGTATGTATGTAAAGCTCAGAATCTTGAATCCAATTTACAAAAAAAAGGGATATGAGAAGCAAGCAGCGTTGCTTTACACGACTTGCATGTACACATTCATGTACAAACATATGTACATACATAACTCACAAGTACCAAAACACTGTCACACTTCAATCGACTGATTATTCTTATTACTATGCATGAATACTGATTCCAACTAAATCTAAAATTTACTTAAAAAATAATTTACGACGTTCATTACTGCCTACTTTTATATTAAAAAAAAAAAAAAATAACTTGGTTTTTAGAGCTCAGACATCTCCAGTTAATACTTTTGTTTGTAACTGCCTTCTCTGGGGTATTTTAGCGAAATTAAGATCACATAAAGCCAAGTAAATTCATTAATGAAAATAAATAAATTGCATTAAAGTTCATAAAAACACATAAAAATGGCGGCACAGAGTGACCAACGTTAAATACATGTTCATAAATGTAAAATGTAAGCACTAACTATTTATTTTTTAACTCAGTAATAGAAAAACAAACGCTGCAAAGAAACAATTAATTCAATTGAAATGAGTAGATAGATTATGCTAAATGTAATGATCAGCTAAATTGTAAAACTAAGTGAGATTCAAAAGCTAAGTAGAATTAATAAACATAAATAAAGCCTAAAGAAATAAATCTATAAATGCAATTGAAAATAATTAAAGCGCACGAAACTGCACTGATTTGTCAATGAACGTTCTTCGACAAAAGTCTTGTATTGTATTTGTAAGCTAGAAATAAATGATTAGAAATTTAAATGCAACTGAAATGCAAGAAAAGTATTAAAATGTACTTGAGCTAAGGAATGCGAAATAAATTCGAAGAAAAAATAAAAATTACCAAATG